GGTGGGGGTGGGGGGAGGACCAGGGAGGATGATTCAACCACTCAACCACTAGATGTTGCTGAAAACAACAAATCCTACACACTGTACCTTTAAGTATTAGTATATCATCTCGTGCAAAATATTAATATTTAGGTTTAAACATTGGGTAATTTACCATCATTGCCATTTATTCACATTTTGTAAACATTGGTTGTATTAAATTTGACATTGCGTTTACAGAAATCAAGGTATGTTTTATTTAGAATGACATGTTTTTAACAGGAGTGGACATTAAGACAAGTGCTTGCTGTGTATTAAGAGCAAGAAAAGTGTTTTTACAGTTATAAACACAGTGATGTAAAAAAATATTAACAGAGACAGAAAAAAAGACTTCCTGCAGAGAATTAATAGCATTTTTTTAATGGATGGATGAATAACTATAAAAAGTAAGTGAGTCAACTGCAGTTCCTGCTCCTTACATTGTGCCATCCATGACCTTTAATTTTCCTTGCTTTACTCTCTAGACATCATCGTACTTATCGCCTCAGTTGCTGTGGTTTCAGCCGGTAGCCAGGGTAACGTCTTCGCCACCTCTGCACTGCGCAGCCTTCGCTTCCTCCAGATCCTGCGAATGGTGCGCATGGACCGGAGGGGAGGAACCTGGAAGCTGCTCGGATCTGTAGTTTATGCACATAGTAAGGTAGGGTATTTATATTCGGTGAGCTGTGACTCTACTTTTATCATTACATTTCTTTTGCATTTGAGATCTGGGGCTAGTCAGTTATTTTACTTTGTTGTAAAGATTTCTGGACTGTGTGAACTTTAACTTAAATTTTTGTTTTACTATCCTAATAAGCATTGGCAATAATGACAGAACCTTATCAATCCCAGGGTAACATGACACTTTTTAAACCAAATATGTTTTAAATGCCCATTAAAACATAAATTTCAGCCAGAACAGCAAAAATAATAAACTCCTGAAAATAACTATCAGTAATATATTTGTTTATTTTTTTAGTCAGATAAATGTCACATTCATTTACACCGGAGGCTGGACTTGTCCTGCAGCGAGCCATGTCATTGTGGCTTCAACATCTAGCCTCTGGACCTGTGTCTAGTTATAGTCTATGTCGATGATTTCACACTATTATTATAAAACTGAATTTGCAACAAACTATACATATTTCTAAGAAATTAAAATTGGTGTCAAATGCAGTGTTAAAGTTAGTTCGGTCTGATGCTTTAATGTTTAACTTTAATTCTTTATTTGTGTTATAATGTATTATGGCCCTTTGTTTTGTCTTTGCATACTTACGTGTTTTAAAATGTGTGCTTTTTGTGAGTTTAATGTAATGTTATAAATTTAGCTCAAAAAGGACAGAGGTTTGTGTTTGGTAGTTCAATGCTTCTTGGCAATTGGCAGCACTTGGGTGTACCAGAAACTCAAATCAAGTGTCACTAGCAACAGCAAGATAAGCTGTTTGGCAGAGAAGATTTGGCAAATTGTTCATGTGCACAACCCACAAACTCAGCTCTACTGCTCATCCCGCAAATGCATGTTCCTTACAAATGTGGCACTGTTTTAAAAGGCTTTACAATGGAATAAGGTTTATTGCCAAGAAGCATTAGTTATTTTTTGTGTCAAGTATATTTTTATGCATCTGCTGCTTTTCTGCTTCATGGAATAATTTCTTTTGTTTGTTTTTCCCTAAAGGAAGCAGTTTTGTTTCACAGAATATGATTCATGCTGATTTGTGCTTGCAGGAGCTAGTGACTGCTTGGTATATCGGGTTCCTGGTGCTCATTTTCTCCTCTTTCTTGGTCTATCTGGTGGAGAAAGAATTCAACAAGGAGTTTGATACGTATGCTGATGCTCTGTGGTGGGGCACGGTGAGCACACTCACATATCACCAATACACACATAAGGCAAGGCTTTTTATATCCACACCTTTTGTACATAAACATTACATTTTGCAGGTTTAGTCAATGCAAAGCTTTCTGGAGAACTACTGTAATCATTTTGTCAGCGATACAGCTTGGACAGGTTTGTTTTTGACGTTTTAAAGTTTCAGATTTCATCGACTCCCAGGCAGTTGTGAATCGTACAATCTGTTTCTCAAACCTCACATTGCCCCCCTGTCTTTAATCAAACAGTGTACCAAGATAAAAGTTACTCTATATCTTTCTGACAGCAGTGATAGATTTCCATTTTCACTTTCAGCGTGACCTTAATGACTTTGGCAACACAAACCCCCTCCACAAGAATAGTTTTTAAAGTCACACTTGGCTGACTGCGCTGCACTGTTTCCTCCTCTATCCTCCCTCGGAAGTGTGGAAACAGACAAGACGTAAACGAGAAACGGCCCAATCAATAAAGCCAATTTTCTCCTGCTGCCAGGTGAAACTGGCCTGTGAAGGTTGTGGGACTGATGCTCAGATAGTCTGTTCCCCAATTCTGAAACCTTGAAGTGTCTTCCTGTCTCTTAAAAGCTGTTGTATAAAATGTGAGAAGATGAAGATCAGCCAACACAAATATAGTCAATGATGCAAATCATGAACCATCAGCATGCATGAAGATCCAGGAATTGCTTTGCAATGACGTCATTCTTTAATGTACAAACATTATCTTTCATATAGTTTTATTTCATTTAGGGGACATGATTTATACACATCTCTTTAATGCCATAGGGTTTGGCATTTACGTGATGTCAGTGTTCTGTTCGTTTATTCAGTCTCTAAATGTTTTAAATGCTTAGGAGATGTGGCTTAGAAATGTCAGTGCATCTAGCAGCAACAGGGAGAGCTGACTCATACAGCACATCCTCAAGGCCACTGAGCTAGTTATTGTTGCTCTGTTGTTTGACATCTGAAGCTGTTGAAGAGAGCAATCAAAGGCGGAGTAACAACTTTATGAACATCCTCTGTGTTTTAATAACCTGACAGCTAAAGTTCGGCTGTTTTTGGCACAAAAACTTTACATATGTTGTGAGGAAATGTTCAGTAACTCTTGTTTGTGGACAGCAATTCCAGCAGGTTTTGTTCTTAGAAAACACAAGAGAAAATTAATTGACTTTTGAGAAAATTAGAAATTGTTACAACATTCTAGTGTACTAAAGACTACCTAACCCAAGACCAAGACCAGAGTGTATCAAGAACAAGGCCATAAAAAAGGCCCTAAAACATACAGTATACTGTATACAGACTGCCATCTTAATATGTATAGCAAATATTGACTAAATCTCCTTGTATAAGGGGCCAGGTAAAGAATTTCGGATCAGAAGCAGATTGCTATCATTAGTTAGCTAGCTTTGCTAACATCACATATAGCTTACCTTTCTTTGTGCTTTCTTTCTAAGTGATGATAAAAGTTTCACGTGGAACCCACCATCTCAAAATGCAAAGCACTGAAGAATTTACAAGTTTGTTATGCTCTCTCCTGGATGTTGTTTTACAGATATATTCTCCAAGATTTATGTAGTCGAATTGAATTGAACCACTTTGTTGAAGTGCCGTGTGTGAGTGAAAGGGGGTGGGATAATAGTGTAACAAAAATACTTCTTTTATAATTCTTGCTTTTAATGAAAGCAAGAATGTTATATTGGACGATATTATGGCACTTTAGTGATAGTTTTACAGTGGTGGTCTTGACGGGTCTTAAAATCCAGAGTTATTAATGTCCGAGACCAAGACAAGACCGAGTATAAATGCGGTCAGGTCCGAGATGAAATCAAGACCATCAAAAAGTTGTCTTGAGTACTACAACAATAAAACATTGTGAATTTAAGATTTTTATGCTGCCATCTTCGATATTAGCTTTATTCTCTTTTATACCTTTAGTTGCTCTCTAAACTAGATCGTTAACATTTAAATATTACATTCAACATAACTCAATTTGAAACTATATTAACATATAGGAGAAAACAAATGCAATGATTTCTAAGACAGCATTGTACAATTTTATTTTGTGCTTCTAGGTTTGCCTAAACAAATGATATTTTCCCCCACATGCTGGAGCCAAAAGAAAATTGTAATGCCATGCTCCATTTAGGCCAAATTAACCATTTTTATGTTTTAAAATATAATTTGGTTGTTATTTGCTGGAAGGTTGGGATGCCTGTAATTTTTCTAAATATAGACCAATTAATCTGTCAACCAATTTTATTTGGCCCATATCTGCTGCTTTAATAAAAAAAAAATCAAAATTCTGCTATGCTTGTGTATGCGAGTAGAAAAATTAAGATACAACTGCAGCTACACTTAAATGCCGCCGCTTAATTAGTCTTTTTAAGCAAAAATTGTATTATTTATATGTGCACATGTTCAAAATTCATTTTCTTTTTTAATTAAGCAATTATTATTGTGTTTTAAAAAAATAAACTACTGATTAAAAGTTGAGAAAAAAAAACAATCTGCATTGTAGGGCTGTATGATATCAGGAAAACCTGTGATGTGCTACCACAATGCTTAAAATTCTGACGACAATTTGACTTGCTATAAATGAACAAATACTTAGGTATGCAATGTTGACAAAGACAAAAAAATACATCATTTCCATTACAACCTGAGTGCAACTACACAGCTATTGTATTAGCAGTGAAACAACAAACTTTAAAACATCACCCCCCATTAAACATCTTCTGATGCTCTGTATACAAAAACAGGCTTCTCACTATATTTTCTTTTAAATAAATAATGAAAACGTCTGAAAATAAGTTAAAGTTTTAAAATAAAAGTTAACAAACCTAAATCATTGCAGTTGTCATCATCACTCACCAAGTGGTTATGATATGATGTGGTATCATTGTTTATCAGACTGATACTGACAAAACCCATAAATGCAAACATTTATACAGTTCTTGCTTAGTGCACAGGCTGTTATCATAATGATGATAAATTTACTGTATATTGTGCAGCCCTAGTGCATCGACCATAAAAAAGACTCATCTTGACTGACCACAATTTGTGTTCTTTCTGTTTAACAAGTTTAAACAATAAAGAAAGCATGTTTTATCAGCTCCATAAATGAATTTTTATGACAGAGTGAAATATTATTAAAGTAACCGTCTAGCTTCTGTCAGATTTTATAACCTGCCTCTTGATATATTGTTCATTTTATCCTATTCTTCGTTAAAGGTTTATCTGAATGAAACCTTGACAAACATGTCTCATGTTTCAAAGGGCTTTTTACTATTTCAGTTAATGTTCATTGATCACAAAACAAATTGTGTTATGGATCCCTGACAGTCGACCTTTCACCTTTCAGATCACCCTAACAACAATCGGTTATGGTGATAAAACCCCGCAGACGTGGACAGGGCGGTTATTATCAGCAGGTTTTGCTCTGCTTGGGATCTCCTTCTTTGCTTTGCCAGCTGTGAGTGGGAACAGATTTATCCTTTATAATAATTCATACCTTTATAATAATACACAGCGCTCCTGTTTAAACAAAATAAACTTTTGTTTTATTATTTGACGGTGTGGATGTGGGATTTTGTACTCGTAGGGCATCCTGGGGTCAGGTTTTGCCCTGAAGGTGCAGGAGCAGCATCGCCAGAAGCACTTTGAAAAACGAAGGAACCCAGCTGCCAGCCTGATCCAGGTAGAAACACACACTCACACATCTACTAACACACACAGACACCTAGTGAACAAAATCACTTCTCATCTACTGAATTCTTCATTCCCTAGCTGCTGCAGACATTTAGAATCTGAACGAATAGACAACTTTCTTTTTTTCCCTTTATTTGCAAACTTCAATGCACTTCTGCAGTTTTCGTGTCGCCTTTTTCGTCTTTCATTTTGTTAAGCATGAATGCAGCAACTGTGAGAAAAACATTTGTGTGTTTTAAGAAATGTGTGCAAGTCGATGTGCGTGTGCTTCGTCTTTTCTCCGGGCTGTTCAGGAGTGCAGCTGACAATGAGTTACGGTGTGTGAGGAGCGCTGTCATGTCTCAGGTCCAAAAGCAACACACACGGCTGGGATTTATTGGTCGTTTCCATGGCGATCAATCCCTGGGTAGACGCTCCTCCAGACTGTCAGTCATTGTAATAGACAAGACCAGCTGCATTGCTTTTTAATGAACAATAAATATCTGCTGTGGGGTGTCTGCATAACCCCAAGTGTGCAACTGTGTGTCTGTGTGTTTGTCGTAGTTCTTCTGCATTATTAACCACCTCGGCCTCACTTTTTGAAATGTTTCACCTCAGCGTAATACGAAAATCCAAACACTTCAGCCATTTTTTTGCAATAAATTGTATCAGATATGAAAATCATGTTTGTATCCTAAATGGTATTTTCTATTATGTCAAGTTAACAAAACTTGCTCTTTTATTATTTTTTTGCAAATACAGTCAAGAAATGTTTTATTATCGTTTCATAAATATTTTATAAAACTCGAGTCTGTTTAATGAGGCAATCTAGTTCCAATATCCAATCATGCAAATGCAGCAAATCAGTTTAACTAAGATAATTGAGGCTATTGAAACAGTGTTGGATGTAAATCATGGGGACAAACGCTGGATAAACTCCCAAACAACTCATAAAGTGAGCGTCCAATCCTGCATGTGCTGATCTCGTTTGTCTTTTATTGGCTCTGCGTCAAGTCTGTCTGCTTTATGTCAAGCTCATAATATCAGAATATTTTCTTCAACAGGTAAACGCAGGAGGAAACATGGGAGCAGCTTTGTTGTGTTAAATATTTGTCATCTGCTCCCCCCACCCCCATTTCACACCCCTTCCCCTGCTTTAAATTGGTCTTGTGTGGATTAGTCTGCATGCAGGACAGGAAATTACCACTGGCCTCAAGCCGCAGCAGCTGGTCAGTACACAAAAAAAAACTAATGCTTATTATTCATTAGTGGTTTTGAGAGAACAATGGTTCTCCAGATAGATTGGAAGTGGTCTCAATGTGTGTGAAAACCAACAACCTTAACTGACCAGTTCTTGGCAGGTGGCCAGTTTTCATTTTCAACTCGTGTTTAAAGTGTTTGGGTTTTCCAGTTGTGACACAAATCATGTAACCAGACCTGGCACCACAGAAGAGGTTTATTTAGCCGGGGGTGTTGCTCAATAATGGTGTGGGCCTCACTGCTTTATGTTTAGTATGTAAAAGAATAGAAGTATTATCATATTTTACCTTTTAAATTGGTTTATTTTTCTGCATTTAATCCTAATTTCAAACATTAAAACTGATTTAAAATCAATTTCATACTAAATAAAGTAAAATATTGACTGTGTTAAGATTGAGGAGGATCCAGACTTGGAACAACTACAGATCTTTAAACAGACCTTCTAAAATGTTGTTCTATAAATGGAACGACTTTTAGCTCACTTTCATTTGTTTGATTGTTCCACTTAAGTTTTCCCAAAGGCACACTGCAAAGAAGATTAATTTAAACCTAATTACTTACCAATTAGTCCCAATCAATACAATTTATTTACAGTGTACTCATTTACTTATATAATTACTTTTAAAAAAATAGCCTGGTTAAAGAAATTCTGATATATAATGCTTTACTTCAAAATAAAGCTTTAAAGGAAAATAGAAAAACCTAAAGAAACAAGAAAATATAAATGTCAAATCACTTATCAGGGTCTGAAAATTCATAGATTTATATCCCAATTCCCACTATCTAAGCCAAGTGTTCAATAATCTATTAATATAAATGTTCTCCATTATTTAAACTTGGTGCGTTGCAGCTTAGGTCTCTGTGCTTAACTTTGTTTACAGTTTACATACATGGTGTTTACCTGTATCTTGACCCTCAAAATTTCATAATTTTCACACACACAAAAAAATCTGTATTACTCACATGCTGAGAGGGAACAGGAAAAGGTAAAGGAGGACGAGGAGAGCCAGTAGAGCAGGCTGAGAGATGATAATTTCATTGAAATGAGGATTAAGTCAAATTTGGTCAAAATGACCTAATTAAATTTTCAGATTCTTGGCTTTATAAGCTACAGTACTGTATATTTTGATACCTGGATCATCCTGATATCATAATTAAATCCATTTATATGACGTAATTTGTCTTGTTGGTTACAATAATACATAAATATTTGGTCTGAATCCTAATTTTATGTTATTTTATTGAGGAATTTTTGATCTCCTTATAAAGAGGAAACCACAAATTATATTTGAATATTGAGATTTCCCAGCTAAAAAGAAACACAACTTTGCTAACTCACGGGGAAAATGTCAAAATTTTAAGGCGTTTTTCCTCAAAATCATTTTTTTGTTGCTACTGCTCAAAAAAGTGCTTCAAAAATTTTGTTTTATGATAAAATTTCAGACTGTTCATTCAAATGATACATTAATAAGGCATTTATTCATTATATTTTGACAAAATGCAATTTTTGTTGACATTTTAGTCAAAACACTATATTTGCCTATTTCTCCATGTATAACTTTTGGACTGTTTTTTTATGTTTGGCTCTGAGACTTAAAATAAATTTGAGGCTCAGCTTTTGAAAAAATATGAGATTTGAAAAAAATCCGTGTGATAGCCATATATGTATATAAAACTGCAAAATGGTGGTGGGGGGGGGGGGATTGGTGCAATTTACCAACAGTTTAAACAAATTGACATGTATGTTTAGTCTTCTGACACTTTCATTTTAAACTGTATCCAAAAGCTCAGAGATTTGACCAAGACAAAATGGTTAAAGTTTGAGATATAAATAATCTGAGAATGCCAGGAATATGCAGCATTTTCATCAAAAAAATTCAAGATAGTCTGAATGCAACACTTTTTTTTGAAGTCCGAAAAGTATGTGGTACTGAATCAGAGTTTTTCAAAGTAACAGCAGCCTGAACACGGTCTCACACTTCTGACTTATGTCAATGAGATGAGGGTATATGGACTGAGCCAAGTATTTAGAATATTGATATCAACTTTGTGCAGTTTGAAACTTGTAAATCCGTCTTCAGCTACAGAACAGAAGTCCAGTTGCTTTACTCAGTCAGTCAGTTTTTTTTTTATTTTTTATATGGAAAGTGTTGACCAAAGTGCTTTACATGGAGGGAAAACATACAATACAATTAAATCCATGTATAGACTAAAAAGGCTAAAAACTGATGAAAATACACAATTCCAAACTTCTGATGGAACTCAAACTGAACTTGAGTTAAAAGCCAATGTAAAAAAGTGAGTTTTCACACAGCATTTAAAAGACTGAACAGACTCTGCTGAAGCCTGATCCCCTTCATGCTTTAGTTTAGCAAAAAAAAAAAAAAAAAACATCTGATTGGAGGATTTCAGTGCTTTGTTTGGGTTGTAAAAGTTCAAAAAATCCAATAAATAACTATGGGTCGTGCCATTTAATAGTTTAAAAGTAAGCAAAATAATCTTAAAATCAATGGAAAACAGCCAGGATTTGTCATTTTTTCTTTTGATTTGCCATGTCCTGGATGAGTTTATGATAGTAATAATGACGGTCTCAGACCCTTTTACTTACAGCACATTGCTCTTGTTCCACTAATACATGCTGCACCGGAGTAGCCGGACAGGATGGACGAAGTGAAAACGTCACGTCTTCTTCTGCGCATGTGGATCACGCTGAGTATTCTGATGGAGGTTGCATACTGTATACTGAATGAAGGTAGCCACAGTCTCTTAGCTGGCCTGGGAACATCTTTAAATCTCACGGGAAGAGCTGGATGAGGGGGTTGTAGGACGAGATTTAAAAATATAAGTGAATATCAAGAACTTCTGACGTGGTGCCAGCAGGTTAAATGATCCACGTCGATGTCAAAGTTCACAAGTCTTGTTTCCTCACCACGTTTGTGTGTCCGCCTTTCTGTGCGGTGCTTGTTTTGTTTTTTTTGTGTGTGTGTGTGTGTTTTTGTGTTTGTGTATCATCTCTGCTCCCTCCCTTCCCCCCACTCAGGCAGCTTGGCGTCTGTACTCCACCGACGGCGCTCGTCCCTACCTCAGAGCCACTTGGCATCACTACCAAAGCGCTCTCCCCCCCCTCAGGCATGTATCCCCTCCACCAGCACCACCACCCCCCGCCCCCTTGCAACAACAAAAAACCCCACCCCGAACAACACCGCATCCACTCTACCCCAAGATACTAATCGAGTTTTTCTTTTCTTTTTTTTTCTTTTTCCTCTCCTCACCATCTTTCTCTCACATCCAACTTACACAAACCCCGCCCCCACCCCATTTCTTTTTTTTATTGTTTTGTTTTTCTTACATTACATTTATTGTTCCTTTATCATCGTTTATCCTGTCGACTTTGCATGTAGTGTGTCTGGCGTAGTTATGCTGCTGATGAGAACTCAGTTTCCATTGCTACCTGGAAGCCTCATTTGAAGGCGTTGCATACCTGCAGCCCCGCCAAGTAGGTAACAACTTACAGACTTACAAACATGGCTGCTGCTGCTGCTACTCAGCCCTCTCCATTGTCTCTTCCCCCTAGCTGTTTGTCTTTAATGGCGTCTCTGGTCATGACTGATTATTATAAAGCTCTGTAACCATTTTTTCTACTTTCATTAATATTTTTCCTCCTCATGCAGGTGTGTTTTGCTTGGCTTGTAATGACCTTTAACATTTTGTTATTATTATAATAGATTCATACATTAAGTTGTGATTTGCCAATTGAAGCATCAGGGGCTAACTATTGTGAAGTGTGATGCCTCTTTAGTTGTTTAAAATCATAAATTAGCTCTTTTTGGGGGGGTTATGAAAAAATGTGAATTTATGAAGGGATTACAAAGGGTGCCAATGCAGCTACTGCATCAAAATTCTAATGTCATTTTGTAAAAATTAAAAATAAAAAAGGCAAATCCTATAGCTTTGATGGACCCACTAGGTGAAACACAGCAAAAAATGCCTACATTTCAATGTATAATTTGTGCACAAAAAAAGTTTTTAAAAAAGTGTTGGCAAACTTTTTGAAAGTTAGGACAATTCATAAGATTGGCTGCCATCAGCTGTAAGTCAAACATTTCATGTCTTCATGTCTTTAAAGTCTTCTAAAACCTAAAATGTGATTTTGAATCAACTGTTGATGTGAGGTCTGACCCATTGAAACTGTTTCTACTGTTAATGTATATATGTGTAAGCTGTAGAACTTAGGTTTCTCACAAATTTAGACAAAATCCTATTGTTGTGTTTGGGAAAATTTTGTCCACAAAATACAACGTAGACTACTGGAGCAGTAAAGCAGGAATGTCATAATATTTCTAACCACATAAGAGTGCAAAATAAAACTTAAAAGTTTGCATGAGGGAATGTCTTGTTCGAAGGAAAAAGTCCCCAATTTTATTCTCCAAGCAAATTTCAGTTTTGGTGTTTAGTCGTTTATTGCTCCACTTACATTTGTCATGTCTCAAAGTAAAGACTTCATACATTGAAAAGACTTCATGCTATACTCAGATTTAATCCATAACTTGGCTGTGCATGGCCATTGCTTGCATGTGCTTTAACAAAAACAGCTGGCTAACTGTACCGGATTAAAGTTCTTTTGGCTTGATGGCTTCCATATCCATCAATGGCCATGTCGTGTAATGCTGTTTTATATAGCTCGAAGACTGATTTCTCTCCCTTTGTCTCCTCCTTTTTCATTCCACTAACCACTGAAGGAAAGAGCAGGGCGAGACTACTTACAGGTTTGTACAACTTTCAGCTCATCTCACTAAATACTCCAAAAACGCAGAAATGTACATTTTATCAAGTTTCAAGTGGTTCTCTGGGTTGTTCAGTCCTATTTATTTGTCCCATGTGTCACCTATTTCAAACCATAAACTTTGATTATTCATTCTTTATTAGTTTGGGTGTAGTTGTGTATTGCTGGGAATCTTTTAAAGTTTGTCTTTGCTCCAACTTGACCAGGACACATCTGCTAGTTGGTTTAGTGATTTAGTCGTGTTGGAAATCATTGTTTGTTTGGTAGATTTTGTTGATTTCTATCCAGAAATGGTAAAAAAAAAAAAAAAACTGTTTAAGAAGCAAGATTAGTTATGCTATTGTGAGCATAAAACAGATATTATTTGGTACATTTGTGCATATACCAGTGGATCAGCAGGAAATATGAAGTAAATATGGTATTTTAAACAAAAAAAAAAAAACCCACTCGGATTCATCAGTAATTATTTGTTTCTTTTTTGTTTTGCTTGTTAGGTTTCTTTTTGTTTGACCCCAAGTCCTGCAGCTGAAAGCATGTTTATCAAAACATAGGTTTCAGGTACAAAGGCATCTGAAGTTTCTAATGTTGCCAGCTGCAGATCGTTGTATTCCTTCATTTGCACCAGTCCAATGGATCAATGTGGATCAATGTTAGCAGTAAAGCTGAACTTACCTCTGACTATGTTCGGGCATAATTTGAATTTGAACGATTCTGATTCTGATCCAAACAATTCCCAGTTCCGTCTGTCCATTCATTTTCTTCCGCTTATCCAGGGTCGGGTCGCGGGGGCAGCAGCCTAAGTAGAGAGACACAGACTTCCCTCTCCCCAGCCACTTGGGCCAGCTCCTCTGGGGAAATCCCAAGGCATTCCCTGGACAGCTGAGAAACATAGTCCCTCCAGCGTGTCCTGGGTCTTCCTCTGGGTCTCCTTCCAGTGGGACGTGCCTAGAACACCTCACCAGGGAGGCGTCCAAGAGGCATCCTAACCAGCTGCTAGAGCCACCTCAATAGCTTAAAATGCCACGGACATCCGGCCCAGCACTGGATGCCACTCACAACACTTCCGGTTCACGGTCAGCACAGTGTTAGCGAAAGATTTATTCACCCGACAACGCCTCTTAATGATCTCCACAGTACAGAATTAGCAAATTACATATATTACATTAACACAGGAGATGTACAGGTTCAGCCAAGTGGAAAAAAAATCACTCCAAAGTGGATTAAAGCCATAAAAACAAAGGAAAGACGTTCCTGTTTACGGTTCTAGAATTTAGCCTTTTTTGCTATTCCGTGGCTGCTTGTTCGGTGAATTTTTCACGTAGAGCTGTGACACTTATARTGTTGGAAAGAGCAGAGTCTGGGCTTTAAATTGATGGGCTACTTGTATGGTTTGGATCGTTTTCCCCGATGTTAGTGAACTGAAAACATAATGATTATCAGGCAGAGTTTCTGCTGCTCTCGGTGCTCAGGGGGAGGAGGGGGCGCACTCGTCACTCGGCTTTAGTTTACGCTGTAATATACACTCTAACAAGTTTTTACTTTTGCATAAAACTCATGACAAAGTCGCATAAAAACATTTTATATAACACAAACGCGCGCGCACACACACCCACCTACCTTTACCGGCTGCTGTGTTAGCTTCCTGCTAGCTGTCGTGTGGAGGTGGTCTTTCCTCTCCCGGTCTTGGCAGTAAAAGGGGATAAATYTACATTTCCCTTTTGTAACCTCCGTCTTCTCATTTCTGATGCTGGCTCTTGAATATCCTTAGGTTAGAAATGCCGATTACAAACGCAAGCATGAGCTTTTAAAGATAAGTTTTGCCTGTAAGGCTATGATCCACTGCTGTCACCTCCTCATCAAGAGGAAAAAGGAGAAAAACTAACTACTCAATCGTATCTGCTGGTTAGTGGACACAACGGCGCACAACAGAACTCATGTTTTATACCAGTAGATCACAGATGCTTTAACTTTTGTGACTTTTTCACGGACTAGTACTAGGAGCTAACGGTAAAAACATAGGCAGTAAGCAGGGAGTGGAAGGGAGGAGCGTGGCAAAAATTTTACGGGAAATACGTCATTAATGACCGTGGCATATAGGCTATTGGCTCCTTTCGACGTGGAGGAGCAGCGGCTCTACTCTGAGTCCCTCCTGAATGACTGCGCTTCTCACCCTATCTCTAAGGGAGAGCCCAGACACCCTGTAAAAGAAACTCATTCTGGCCGCTTGTATCCACAATGTCATTCTTTCAGTCACTACCTAAAGTTTGTGACCATAGATGAGGGTAGGAACATAGACTGACCAGTAAATCGAGAGCTTTGCCTTTTGACTCAGCTCTCGCTTCACCAGATAGACCGGTACGGCGCCCACATCACTGCAGACGCAGCACCAATCCGCCTATCGATCTGCTGCTCCATTCTTCCCTCATTTGTGAACAAGACCCCGAGATACAGTACTTAAACTCCTCCACTTGGGGCAGGACCTCTTCCGCGACCTGGAGAAGGCTCCCTACCCTTTTCCAGCTCAAGACCATGGTCTTGGATTTGGAGGCACTGATCCTCATCCCGGCCGCTTCACACTCAGCTGTGAACCGCTCCAGTTCCAATTGTTTTTCAAGGGTTAAAAATGTTCACACAGGTAGCTAACCAGAGTTCTTTCTGAATGAAACAGTCAGCTTGTCTGATAGTTTTATGAACTTTACTAAGAATTCTTCACAGGGCTATTATCAACCACTACATAAATAACAAGTCTATGAACTTGAATAAAAAATGGTATGAGTTTTCATTTCACACAGGGGTACACTTACAAGAGTTATGTTTTTAAAAACCTCATGAAAACACAGAGACATATCCAGTGTTGGATGCTGCAGGTATGTTGCTGAGCTTATGTTACAGTTTTAAGGTTTAGTATGGCTGCCTCAAAGTTGGCATTAGACATATTTTACTGTTTTACTTACCCAAAAGTCTCAGCGGAGGAAAACTCACACAGCACGTTGAAGACAGAACCCTGATCAGTGTTTGATCACGTTGGTCGTGCGGCCCTCCTTTGCACAATAAAATCTTATTCTTTTTGAAAAATATAGTGTAAGAAATATGTGTTCAATATCGGCTGAAGTCAGATGAAACACCAGTGTGAAATAACGATCTGTGTTAAGAAATAAATGCCATACAACATCAGAATTCTGGAGTGGGGGTTTATTTTGCCACGGGCTGGCAAGTCAAACCACACACTGCGAGTCAAAACAGGAAGTCGACCAATATATACAGGATCTTCAATGCCCGAGTTCGCCCCTGCTGGCCTACAGCTGAATCACAGGCATTCCTACAAACAGCCCTCAAATCTAATGTTAATACAGCTTCAATTATGTGTTGTTATGATTCGGACATCTATCTACATTATTTCAATTAACACATTGTAAGAAATATGACAAACATTATAACGGTATTATAAAATAGAAAACCCTAATACTCTGTTGTATGTAATCAGTAGGTAAGCCCTAACTATAAATTTCTTCAATAGCATATTCAGTTATACAGAGGACAAGGCAACAAATACTCTTGAATGTTAAATGTAAGAATCAAGGCCATACACTCTGCGGCTAGGCTAATAGTCTCAGCCCCTCAGTCATGGATCCCCCCTGGCAGGAAGTTGCAGCTGCTTATATACACTTTCTTTCAGTTCTAGCCTCTCTCTAGGGGCAAGTTGTCACGTCGATTGGAGGTTCTCCCTACCATGTGACCAGAAACCCTTAGACAACAAACCTACGTACTGATGAGAAATAATTATGCGTTGCGAATGAATTTAAGGCGTGTGTTACTAAACATATCACAAGAGTACACTCTGCTTGAAATGACCGTGACATGAGCCACTCAAAACGGAATGTACATCGCTAAATCACATAAAAAAAATTGATTATTTTGCTAAGTAAGTTATCAGAACACACCCTAGTTCTCCCAGGAGTAGAACAGTATGTGTGATGTGCCAACAATCAGTGGTAAACAGAAAAAAAATCCTTCATTTTAATAAAGTTAAGCCACCTCACATCATCCATAATTGCAGATTCGACATCATTGGTGTGTGGCAGTTTTTTTTTTTAACAGTCGGCGAACTGGGTATCGAAACTAGAAGTTGATACACTAAAACTTGAACGATTCTGGGAGAATCAACATGTTAGTCACGGTTCCAATCGATACTACAAACTCGATGCCCAACTGTACCTGTCACTATAGTTTCCACTTTAGGACCCTTTCAAAATAAACTACAATAGCACAAACAGATCCTAGGACACTTATGAGTTGTTTCTCTTTCTTTCATTTTTGTATTGTGTTTTTAAAAAGCACGATGACCACTAAAACCACATTAGGAAACAAGTAAGCGTTCATTCATTTGCTCTGTTGTCTATTGAAACTGTGCAAATGTAAAAATAAATTGAAATAAATAACTGTGATATTTCTTTTACTTATGGTCACACAAATAAAATAAGACAAAGGTCTTTAAGGTGACACTTTGTGAAGAAACAGCACATTTCCTTTTTTTAGTTTCTTTTCCTTTTACTTTGATAAAAACCATAAGATTATTTTTGATTCTCTCGCTTTTCTTCTCTCTTTCCAAGGCAGAAAAGTGTTAATGGTTGCCTTGTCCTCTCTCTCTCTCTCTCTCTGTGTGTGTGTGTGTGTGTGTGTGTGTGTGTGTGTGTG